GACAGTGAAAAGGAGGCCAGGGGTGATGCACGCAAGTGAGGTTAGTCAGTGGATGACGTCCCCCGAAAATAAGACCTGGTGCCTTTTTTGGTGGCAAAAAAATAAAACAGGGTCTTATTTTTGGAGAAAGGTGGTATCTCCTGAAGCCTGCTTCAACTTAGGAAATCTCTTCCTGCAAAACAGACCACAATTCTACCTCCATGGGGGGAAAAAAAGGGTGGGGGGAAACGTGTCTCAAAGTTGCCAGAACTCAAAGCCATCCCCACTTACTGTACGCAGAAACCAAATGATGTGTATTGTGATGACTCAACCCTAGTGATACATCGGTTCTCATTTAGCTACTAAACTTCCAGGAAGACGTGAGATCAATTATTCTTCCTCCTGCATCACCAGCTTATAAGATTGGCTTGAGGATTAAAAGAAGGAAAGGGGTGAGTGGTTGAGAAGTGACGGCCAGAGGAAAAGCAGACTTCAAATATCTATATCTATATCTATTATTAGCAATATCTTTTGTACAAATGCTGGACTTGTGCAGGCAACGACGTGACTCTCCTCTGCTCCTTTTTATCAGACAGCACCTAAAAGGATTATATCTTCTTGCAAACAGTCTTTAACAACAGGCAGTCCTCGAGTTACGATGACAGTTGAGCCCCCAAATGTCCATCGCTAAGCGAGGGAGTGGTTAAATGAGTTTTGGCTCATTTACGACCTGACACCGTTATTCAGCAAACCGGCTATAAGTCACACCGGTTGTTAAGGGAATCTGGTTTCCCCATTGCTTGTCAGAAGGGCGTGACCCCGGGATGTTGCAACCATCGTAAATATGAGTCGGTTGCCAAGGGCCTGTAATTTTTTTTATCACATCACTGTGGGCATTCCGCGATGGTCAGAAGTGCGAAAAATAGTCCTAAGTCATGTTTTCAGTGTCATTATTATAACTTTGAACGGTCAGTAAATGAAAAGTTATAAGTCGAGGATTACCTGTGCCGAACTCTCATTCCTTTTTATCAGAGAATGCCAGATCTTCCTGCAAACACTTCAAATAATCCATCCTCTCCCTCCCCAAAAAATTTACTTCATTCTTGTCTTCTTTTCCTGGCTCCATTAACGCTCCCAGGCTATAAATCTGGAACCCCACTAACTATTTCTGATCTAGATCTTCCCTTTTTTCCAGGGTTTGGTCTTCCGTTTTTTTTTGGATGAGCCATTATGCTTTTACTTCCACATCTGTTGCATCTGGGCCAAGCCTGGCTGAGCCACCCTCGCTTGGGGGATTTTCTGCCACTGTGGAGCTGTGAAGTTTGCAGCCAGGGACGTGATGGATGTGCCGGTCTCTGTTCTCTGTTCTCCCCGCCCACCTGCCCTTCACCCCAGACAGCTGTGTCTCCTTGGACAGAAATCCAGTTTTGTTTCTTTCCAGCTGCATGTCCAGAGGTGGGCTGAGGTCCAGGTGCTAAGAAGCAGCTGAGTTAGCCTTTAACCTCTGCTAACAACCCTCCTGGGTGTGTTATGAGACAACAGCTGGAGGACCAAACAACGAACTGGAGAACCGGAGAACTCTATAGCTATCATGGACCTCTGAATCAAGAAAGTCAAGTCGAAACCCAATTGTCTGTAGCGATTCTCAGTCATTCCAGGTCCTGGTTGTCCCAAAGACGTTTTGTTTCTCATCCAATAAGCTTCTTCTACCCTTCCATTCCCCACTATCCTGTCAGAGCTGAAAAAGCTTCTTGGATGAGAAACAAAACGTCTTCAAAGAAAAACCAGAAAGTCCCAGTTGCTTCTTGAAAAAGCATCTTTGGGACAACCAGGACCTGGATGGATGAGAATCTCTACAGACTTTTAGCTATACAATTTGGGATGAACACCCTTGGAATGGTTGTGGGAATAGGAACGGATTTCCAGAGAGAATGAAACGGCAGACTACAGGAACCAGGAGCACTAACTCAGGTGACCCTGAGGACACCTATAAACCTCCAAGTGGCCTCTACGACTCTATAAAAAGGATGCAAACGACCAGCTGCCTGCAAGGAATATAAATCCTTCCATTCCCTACCACCCAGTCAGAGCTGAAGAAGCTTCTTGGATGAGAAGCAAAACATCTTCAAAAGAAAAAAAAACCCCAAGAGAGTCCAGTTGCCTCTCGAAAAACTTTGGGTCAAAACCCAATTGCGCCACTGTTTGGTCCAGGGATCTACCTTTGGATTTGAGGAGGCGGTCATGATCACCTTCCCCTGAGAAGGATGCTTGGTCCAGCCCAACACAAGTAGTCCTCGACTTACGGCCACAATTGTGCCCAAAATTTCTGCAGCTCAGTGAAACATTTAAGAGAATTTTGTCCCATTTGGCACGCTTTCTGGCCGACCGTTTGGGAAGTGAATCACTGCGGTTTGTTCATTTGGTAACCCAGTTGTGAAGTGAATTTGGCTTCCCTGTGGAGTTTGCTTGTCAGAAAGTCGCAAAAGCGGATCGCGTGATTTCCTCCCCCCCTGCGGGGGACACTGCAACCGTTATAAATGTGAATCGGTTGCCACATGGCTGAATTTTGATCACGTGACCACGAGGGCGCTGCAATGGTTGTTGGTGTGAAAAAACACACTTTCCCCCCCAGTGCCATCGTAGCTTTGAATGGACACTCAGTGAATTGTGGTAAGTTGAGGACTACCTGTAGAGTAGACTTTGTTTTCATGCAATGCAATGAAATGCAATGAAATGCAGAAGAACCTTCATCCCCCATGACCTCCTCTCTTCTTAAGGCAGAAGATAATTTTTGGAAAGGTTTTGGAGACCTGCTCTCCAGCTGTGATGACCCGGGGCATGGCACAAAAGCAACAAAGTCACAAAAGTAAGTAAAGTCCCTTTAATACCTCCAACTTGGTCCCCAATGTCCAGTTATCATCGGCTGGAGAAAAAAAAAATCTCTTCCAAAAACAGTTTTCAAAAGGAAGAAATTCCATCCAAACTCAAAGTACATATAAATTATAAATAAAAACCAACACAAACCACACTGCAGCAATGAATGAGACGGGGCAGGATAAGGGATTGAAGACGTCAAAAGATAACAAACCACACACCCTTGGGAGGATGCCAGAACTCAGATAAGACTTGACAAACCAGAATAATTTCACGCTTTGCTTCCAGCAACTTTGCCGTGCGCAGTTTGCCCTTTTAAACTGTCTTCCCAGCTGCAGCCGATGAAGGGGATCAGGGCTTTTTCCTCCCCTGTAAACCATGCAACTCACGTTGCTCCCTTATACATTCCTCCCTGCGTGCACTAGGATGAAGAGGGGTGGGTAGGCCTGGGTCTTCCTCTGAATGCCCAGCTGGCCTGTGCCCTTCCCCAGTTTCCTCCACAGCCACCGGAGCCACACTCCCACTCCCTGTCAGCTGTTCCACCTCTCCCTCGGAATCAGATTCCAACAGGGGCATGACACCAGCTTTCAGAGGGCAAGTTTGATACACACCCACACCCACACAAGCTTCTGGAGCACACACTGGATTTAATGGGACGATGAAGAAGGCATCAAAAACAGCCTACGAGCTATCCTGCCAGGATTCAAAACGCTTTCCCAAGAATGACTTCAAAGGGTGAAGCTGGCAAACGTTTTATTCCCTTATGCATCTATTTGTAACACACATTACTGCATCTCATTTTTTTTTTACTCTTTATAGCCCAAGCTTGCTCCACGGAGAGAAGGTCAAACCAATGTGCTTTTTCACCCTTCCAGACTCCCAACCAAGGAGGAGAACACTCAAGCTATTTTTGCAACTCTTATCCAGAAACGGCTAATGGAACCAGCGTTGGGCACTTTCACGCACAAAACCCTTTCGGTGTTACAAGCACCAGCGCACACCTCTCTGGTGTAGCCTGACCCAGATCAAATTTATCCAAAGCGAGGCCCAGTAAGAGAGATCGAGGGCAGGATCTGTCCCTGGGAATTTATTCCCAGGGAAATCTAGTTTTCATTCGCCCTTTGCCAGCTCCACTCTCTACGTCCTCAGTGCTTGCAAAGGAGGGGGGTCCATGGCTGCATCATCTTTATAGGCACCAAACGGCTACTTCGTAATAAATCAAACCCCCCCCTCCCATTCCCCCCACCCTCCCTCCCTCAAATCCTGACAGTCAGAAGCTGTACCACTTTACAAGTAGCAGTAACAGTTGCTGCAGCTCAGCGTTTTCGTGAGACCTCGCAAACCGAGGTGGGCATCTTGGCACATCGCCTTCTTTCCCATCCAAGAACAAAGCAAGTTCTCCACCTAACTTGCTGGACGTCTTGGCCGCAGAGGGGAAATCCTTGCTTGTTCCTAAATGCTGCGTAGTAACTTTCAACCTGGTTTCCCACGTGTGGGGAAACGAGGGTGGCTGTTGCAGCCCAGATGGAATCCTGGTCTCCTTCTTCATCCAACCGTTCGCTGGAGGGCAGGTAACCCAAGGCAGGAAAAACGATTCTCGCTTAAGAAGCCACTTGGAACTTCTCATGGCCTCCAGCTCCGTGCCCTGGGATTGAAGTTTCAGGTTTTTCTTTTTTCTTTTTTTCCCCCCTGAAAGGATATTTTGGCTGGTTTGTTTTTCACAATCAGGCAGAGGTGGGCGTAGCTGCACTGGAAAGTATCCTCAAAGAAAGGAATTTTGTTACTCTCTTCCTGAAGTTGGGGGTTTTTTTTGTCTGCACCCGCATTGGCCGAGATCAAACCATCTTCACAGAGGGGGGAGGGGAAAGGCTGAAATATGGTCAGCTGGGCCTCTCACCTGCGGGGACTGATCCTCCCTTCTTCTTCTTGGCCTCAGCTGATCACCTGAACTAGTCTATAATGCCACTCATCACACTGAATTAAGGGAGCTCCAAGGGCCCCCCTGGCTGGCTGGCTTCTACGCTTCTCCATCCCCAAGACACGGGACACGTGTCCCCATCGCTTCTTTCCCCAACGTCTGCCATGGATGACATGAAAAAGATAGGGTTCTCTACAGCAAAGGTTGGTTCCTGGAGGAGGGGGTTGGCTCAAGGGTGGGCTGGTTCTAAGGGAAGGGGCTCTTCCTGCTTCTTCTTCCGTTGACGCTCTCGTTTGGCCCGCCAGCAGACCAACGCGGCCACCAAGAGGCCGACTCCAAAAATCAAGGTGGCCACCGAGACCACCTTGGCAATGTCCATCTGGGGCCCATTGATGGTGAAGGTGATGCAGGTGGCGGCGATGCCGATCACCAAGGCAACGATGCCAAAGGGGAAGATGCAACGGTACCACGACTTCTCGGTGCCCCCCGTGGCCAGGGCTAGCTTATTCAAGGTGGCGGTGGAGTCCGTGGTGGCAGCGACGGGCATCCCCGGTTTTCCTCCTTGGAGGCAAGTCAACGAGTTGGACTTACAGTTCATCATTCTGGCAGGTGCCCGGTGGAAGATTCTTACCCCAACTCCTTGGGAGGACAAAGCTCCAGAACTCTTGCAATGCAGCTTCTTTCTGAGAGTAGAGGACCACGAGGAAAGTCCTCTCCTTCCTTTCTCCTCTTGTTGCGTTCTCTCTCTCTTTCTCTCTCGCTTGCTTTCTCTCTTTCTCTGGCTGCTTCTGGCTGGTGAAGGCTTCTGGCTTCCACTGATTCTTTTGCCGTAGCAGCCAATGGCTGGGATTGGCAGGCAGGAGAAATGAGATCATATGTGTGTGGGCTGGAGCTCGGCCGCTGTTAACTGTTTCGGAGAAAAATCCTGACGGGGAGAAGGAGGAGGGGAGTGGGCGCTGGATTAAGCATCCTTCCTCCTTTCTCCTCCCCTGGAATCGTGGGGGCATGGGGGGGATGATAGAAGGGGGTGCCTGCTTTCATCATTTGGGGACGATGACTTCTATCGTGGCCAACGAATCCTGACCAAAGAGCTTATGTTGGTGTCTTTGGGATTTGTTGACCTGCTTGAGCTGTTTGGAGGGGTCAGCGCTCTTTTAGCTTTTCTTTACAAAGAGGGGAACAGTTAGGAGAATCCGATGGTCTCTGTTTTCGGTTCAGTGTGGGGCAACTATGAAGGCCCAAGATTCATGGAGTGGGAAGACCAGATTAGTATCAGGATTACAGAGTTGGAAAGGGACCCTGGAGGTCTTCTACTCCAACCCCCTGCTCAAGAAATAAACCCTATACCATTTCAGATAAACGGTTGTCCTATATCTTCTTGCAAACCTCCAGGGATGGAGCGCTCACAGGTTTTTGAAGACAAACGGTTCCAGTGGTTGATTTTTTATCACTGTCAGGCAATTTCTCTTTAATTCTAGGCTAGAATCTTTCTTTGATAATCTCCCATCTGTTACATTTGTGCTGTGGAGAATAGGTTGACCCCCTCCTCCTCTTCTTCGTGGCAGCACCTCAAATATTGGAAGACTGCTATCATGCTACCTCCTAGGCATACTTTAGGCATGGAAGGACCCTGAGGGAATTGAGGCCAATGCCATCCCTCTCAGTCCAAAAGCCTAGGTAAATCGTGGTGAAAATACTGGATTTGGAGCAGTGGTGGGATTCAACATTTTTTACGACTGGTTCTGTGGGCGTGGCTTGGTGGGCGTGGCTTGGTGAGCAGGGCAGGGGGAGGTTACTGTAAAATCCCCATTCCCTCCCCACCCCACTAAACTGTCAGCTTTGGAAGACATATTGACACCAGATACTTCCACACTGCCACATTTTTGAGCCTGGGAAAACGGGAGGTGGAGTGTATGTAGTTAGGCATAATAGCATTCTTTTTATAAATTAAGGTCATGTCATTTCTGCACCTGGGTGAGGGGAAGTCTCAAGTTGGGACGGATAGCGATTGGGGCATGTGATGCGACGATGGGTCCAGGGGGTGGATTTGTAGTTTTTATTTATTGCAAGGAAACCCTGAACTTTCAGATTTGGGATTCCCTAGATGTGTCAGTTTACTATCCAGATAAAGCAGAACTTTTGAGAAGATGTCTGTCTCGGAGTTATTGGTTGGAGTGGAGGTTTTCTGGAATGCTGACATAACCTGCTTTCCAGCTCCATTCTTCTGTGCAGGGCAACCAAAGAAGACCCAACTGATCATCTGGGACTCAGGAGGCAGAGATTAGATGGGGGCAGGGCCAGTCAGAGGTTGTATTTGCTGGTTCTCTGAACTAGTCAAAATTTCCACTACTGGTTCGCGAGAACTGGTCAGAACCGGCTGAATACCACTTCCAGATTAGGAGTGTGGAGACCCAAATTCTTGTTCTTCTTTACGGAATGAAGGTGAACTTTGGGTCAGTCCCTTTCTCTCAACTCAACTTCCCTCAGATGATGCTACCCTGAGCTCTTGCATTACATCAATCTAACAAAGAGATATGTCTTTCTTTTCTTTTCTTTTCTTTCTTTCTTTCTTTCTTTCTTTCTTTCTTTCTTTCTTTCTTTCTTTCTTTCTTTCTTTCTTTCTTTCCTTCGTTCCTTCCTTCCTTCCTTCCTTCCTTCCTTCCTTCCTTCCTTCCTTCCTTCCTTCCTTCCTTCTTAATGTTATTATTGCACTTTTTTCTCTTTACACATCTTAAACATCTTTAACGGTACGGAGGCGTTTGTTACAAATACACATTTCCATACATTTCTAATTATTCATATACATTTCATATACATTTCTTCTTCTTATCTCTGCAATTCTTATTCCTATTGCCTATCCATTCATACCATTTTCCCCATACCACATAATACTCCGAATCTTCTTTACCTTTTAATTCTAGGGTGTTTATCCATTTTCACACAATCTAAGATCTTTTGGATCACTAGGCCTTCTGACGGTATGCTATCTTTTTTCCAGCGTTGGGCGAGTGTGTTGTAGTCATGTGCAAGATCATATATTTTATCTTTTTGTTATATTTCCCCTTAATTATCCCTAAAAGGAACAATTCTGGCTTCAGTTCTATTTGACAATTTGTTATTTCATACAGCCATTTTTGTATTTTAATCAAATACATTTTTTACTTCGGGGCATAACCACCATGAGTGAAAGAAGGTACCTTGTCCCTGTTGGCATTTCCAACGGTTTGGGTTCAGATTTGGGTACATTTTTGCCAACCTTGTTGGGGCCAGATGCCAAAGATAAAACATTTTATATTGATTTTCCTTATACGCACCAGATTTTGTTATTATATAATTTTTATTCCAAATTCTTTCCCAATCTTTGAGCTCAATATTATGTCCAAAAATTTTGGCCCATGTTATCATTAAACAAATATGTCTTTCAGTGCCAGCTGATGAAGAATTTATGACTATTTTATTCTAGTGTTTTTGTTTTTCATTAAGCTTTCAGTACTCTCTGTGTGCCGTTCCTGCCTCAGTTGATAGGATCTTTCTGGAGATAAATTCTAACACTCTTTTCTCGCCTGTTGCTTTACCTTTCTTATCTTTAGATCTGCTTTCTGACAGCTAATTTATCTGCAACTCTCCTGAGTTTGGGTTTTTATTTTCAAAAGGCTGCTGATTTCTAATATCTGCCCTAGCTCAATTCAGGGTATTGAATCCTGTCAAGCATTTATGGAGATTCTCAGTCATCCAGGTCATAGTTGTCCCAAAGGTCCTTTTTCAAGAGGCAAATGGATTTTCCTGGTCTTTCTGAAGCAATTAAGGGAACCAGGCAATATAAGGGCTTGAAGACATCCATAGATATCGGAACATACACTGGGAAGGACACCAAACTTAGAGAGGAACAACAGACTACAGATATTTCCAAGCTTTGTTTCCAGCACTGGCCCATACACATGTCCGTCCTTTTAACCATTTCTCACAGCTGCAGCTCATGAAGGGGATCAAGGCCCTTTCCTCCCCCGTAGACCATGCCATTCACGTCTCTCCCTTATCCTCTCCTCCCAGCGTGCCCTAGGATGGAGAGGGGATGGGCCTGGTTCTTCCTCTGACTGCCCAATTGGCCTCTGCCCTTCCCCAGCCTCCTCCACCACCTCCGGAGCCCCACTTCCACTCCCTGTCGGCTGTTCCTCCTCTCCCTCGGAGTCAGTCTCCAATAGGGGCATGACATCTATCTTGAGGGTACTTACAACCTGGCTCATGGGTTCACTTAACAACCATGCAATTTGTTTAATGACCACTGCAAACAAGTTCATAAAATTAGGTTGGCCACATGACCCACCCGCTTTAAGGTGGGCACAAGTTATGACTGTGATAGGCAGGGTCCATTATGGTCGTAACTTGAGGATTTCTTCTCAGGAATCCTCTGTTCCTTGTTTTTTTTTTTGCCCCTCTCAGAGATGAGTATATTGTTGGATTATACATTTTGAAAACATTTGACAGGATTGTCCCATAGGTGTTTATTTTTTCGAGAGGCAACTGGACTTTCTGGTTTTTCTTTGAAGACGTTTTGCTTCTCATCCAAGAAGCTTCTTCAGCTCTGACTGAATGGTGGGGAATTGAAGGATTTATACTCCTTGCAAGACAGCTGGTCATTTGCATCCTTTTTAGAGAGTCCTTGAGGCCCCTTGGAGGTTTATCTGTGTTCTCAAGCAAAACATCTTCAAAGAAAGAAAACAGAATTTTCATCAGATTAAACATTACTTCAAGAGAATGTTTTTTTTCTCCTCCAGCCTCAGTCTGTCTTCAAAAGATTATAAGAACAAGGGTCGGCCTGGCTTAAGAAATAAACTAAGCTGTGTTTCATTTAAATGTAAACTGACTTGTGTTACATTCAAAAGCTTAACATTTTCCATCGGAAATGTTTTACTTGTTTACTTCCTAGCCTTGGCTACAGTCTTGGTATTTCCTTTTGGTGTTCCATCCAAGAACTAACAGGTTTGCTACAGAGCATTTCAAACTCAGCCAAGGTTAAAAGTAGCCATGGTTTGTATACATCACCAAAAAGTCATCCTGGATTAAGTAGACCCAAGGCTAGTTTGTAGTGAAAACTGTCATTTATGTGTCTGAGGAAGCACTTTATTTATCCATTATTTGCCACCCCCCCATTAGGCAGGTGATCAGCCACTAATTATATATATAAAATTATAATTAATATAACTAATTACACATATATCCACCAGGGATGAGATACACACACACACTCACTCACTCTCTCTCTCTTTCACACACACACATAATTTCCTGGTGGTCTAACCAGGGTCAGAAGTTCTGTAAATGAGTGAAGATGATGCAATTTGGGAATTTGGCAAACACCACGTATTTCCCAGCAGCTTCTGCCAAGCAAAGTTCATGAATTCGTTAAGTGAATCATGCGGTCACGAGGGAATCCAGATTCACTTAATGACTACATGATCCACTTAACGAATTCAGTGATTCTCTCAGTGAAAAATGGCAGAAAGAAAGGTCGTAAAATCGGGCGTGACTCATTTAACAACCAGTAGGCTTAGCAATGGAAATTCTAGTCCCCTTTGAGGTCGTAAATTGAGGATTGCCTGGATTGAATTTATTAGCGTGTAATTTTCACCTTCTACATAAATCCAGCACCAGGGAACTGTCCAGAGTACCAAATCATACCCCGAACATCTATTTTTGGTGAAATCATCACTTGGATTAGAAGTGAACGAAGAATGACCAAGAGGAAGCAAGCAAATATTTCTGCTCTCCTGATTGGATTTGTCTTGTGCGTTCCTCAGCCTGCCTGTTTCTGTTGTGTCAATCGGGCTAGACTAAACGTTGGCTTGCATATAAAACATCAGTGTGTATCTCTTCTTCGGTTGTCTTGGTGGAGGGTGAATCATGCATCTGTTTCCTTAGAGGAAATACTTTTCTAGTCATAGAACACTTTCACCTAACCAGAATGTAGCTCAGCCGCTGAAATCATCCGTCATGAATTCAGTGGAGCAGAAAACTATTAAGTCACATTAAGTTCAGGAGCCGAGCTGAGGTTCCCCTATGGCATTCTTGCAGAAAACGAGCCATCGGATTAAGACAGAATCCAGGCCTCGTTTCAGAATCAAGAGCAAACGCCGGAGTTTCCGTAAATCTATGTTGATTAGAAACAACCACCTAGGCTGAGTTAATATGATCCTATTCAGTCACAGCGACAGCAATTCCAAAACAGGAGTAACAGCTTATTCCTAAGTATATCTTTACTGTGCGGTCCTTGGTGCTCTCTGTGCTTCAGTATTTTCTTGCAGAGCTTTCATTACCAAACTAGGTAATATCATCAGGCACCGAGGACATCAGTTACTTAGTTTGGTAATGAAACGTCTGCAAGAAAACCACCAAGCACAGAGATCACTAAGGATTCCACAGTTCAACCCTGAGTTACAAATGTTCTTCTCTGTTGGCACTTGTACACAAACAAAGAGCAAACCCCATTCCCTTTTAGCACTGATGGCGTTACTCAGTTTGGTAATGAAATGTCTGCAAGTAAATCGCCAAGCTCAAAGAACACTAAGGACAATACAATTTAACCTTGATCTACAAATATTCTCTTCTATCTGAATTTGACACTTTCAGCTATCTCCTCTGAATTTGCACAGCCTGGTAATCCACAGGTCACAGTATACAAGGCTGATGGTTTACAAGGCAGATGTGTGGACAGCTGAGGCCTCGGAGAGTGAGGACTCAGATGAGGAGCCTGCGTGGGATGCAGGGATGGGGCCAGGACTATCAGGGAGTGGAGTGCTGCCTTTGGAGATTGTGGAGGCTGGCAGCAGTGATGAAGAGGCCCCCGAGGAGCCTGTGCCCAGGGTGCATGCATGCAGGGCTGCTTGAAGGAAAGAGCAACAGCAGCAGCACGGGCGACTCGGGAGTAAAGCTGCAAGGTAACGGCCCCTCTCTTAAGGGATAAAAGCCAGCCCTCGGAGATGGGATTCTTCGCAGGAAGCAAAGAAGTTCTTGCCCTTCAAGCCTTGTGGAAGTTCGGACTATCCTGGTTTGTGTTTGGAGACTTTTTGTTTGGAATATTCCTTGGCAACTTTATCTTGTGTTCTTGGCAGCCTTGCACAACCTTGGCGAAGCTTGTTCTTATCAGAGACAATTTAGTTTTAGTAGCCTTTTAACTGTGAATGAACAGAATTCTGCAGAGAAGCATTGAAAGGTTTTGCTTTTACCTCTGTTTGGTGTTTGTTTCCATGGAACAAGGTTTGGGTCAGAACAGCCACCAGTTTTCGTTAGTCCAGAATCTGCTGCCAAAAAAGACATCTTGTGCCTGGATGGAGCTTTGTTCTCATTCCCAAACAGTGGTTGCATCGTAGGCCTCTTTTTGTATGTGAGAGCTGGTGAGCCACGCACAATGGCGGCCTTCTTCTGCTGACGCTCAGCCTTAGGGGCCAATTAATTAATCAGGCCCTCTTCTTCTCCTCGTCTCAACTTCCAGATCAAGCCCCTTCATCCCTTTCGCCTCACCAAAAGCTCTTTCTTTCCCTTCCTAGGAACAAAACCCCCCACTTTTCAGTTGGACAAGGGGAGGGTTGATGTGGCAGGCCAGTTCTGAAAAAAGCAATTGGATCCAGGAGAGAAAAGAGAGGAAGGGGTGAAGGAGAGGGTTTTCGAGAGGGGGATTGCAAGCTTAATTGAACCCATTCAAGAATTAGGAAAATTGTTCCATTCTCATTCAATTCAGGGCAGGTTTCAAAAGGGAGAAGAAAAGAGACTCGGACAATTTCCCAGAATGTACCTTTGTAAGGGAGTTTTTCTTTTCTCTCGCTAAGTTTTTCAGGAGACCAAGCCAGCAAAGAAGCTCTTTGTGTGCATGGAAAAACTTAATGAGGTGCCCAGGAAAATGAGCACTTCTGATGTCCGTGAAGGATGTGCCTAGAAAATGAAGAGTTTGGAGAAGAGAAAGAGGGACCTTGCGCCCCTCACGAAGATCAACCTTTGGATGCCGGAATTCCCATCAGTGTTGTGTCCCATTAAAATAATCTCGCCTTGGGTTATACACCGTTATAAAAATACTTTACTCAAACTGCTGCCAGACAAGAGTAGGCAAGATTGGGTTGGCAAGTTATTCTCCGAGTCCAAAGCATCCAGAAGTAACGGGTGGAAGATTCATTAAAGACAGACCCAACTTAGAACTAAGGTAAGTAAGGAGAATTAATCCGCGAAAGAACTGGCCTCCAGAAGTTGTGGTGCTCCATCCCTGGAGGATTTTAAGAAGAAATTGGACAGCCATTTGTCTGGAATGATATTGCTTGGGTGGGGGTTGGACTAGAAGGCCTCAAGGTCTCCTCCAGCCCTATTATTCTACGTTCTAATTGTCAGACCTAGCATTCCGTAGATTTTTCCAGTTGCCAGCTTTTGAATTTGATCTTCTATCTGCCTTACTTCATGGTTCCCACTGCCCCTTTGAAGGGTGTTCAGATGTAATTTCCCAGTTACAGATATCTGATATGCCAGTGTGAGGCGGAGGAACATGTGATGGACCTTCTGCAGTAGGGAAGTCCACCTCGTAGAAACAAGGGCCTTCTCCGTGGTGGTTCCTTCCTTGGGGAACAATATTCCCATGGATATAAGTCTGGCCCTTGCCTTGATCACCTTCATTGAATGATCCCATAATCCCTTGTGGGGTGGAGTCTGAATGGAGCTAGCCGAGCGTTTTAAGGGCCTCACCAATGTGGAGTTTTGTTCAGCAGATATATTCTCAGTGTGCCCAGAAATATCTGCCTCTACCTAGGATTGAACTCACAGCCTCCTGATTGTGAGGGGAGAGCTCCACTTCTAAGCCACTGCACCATTCACCTTGATGCTCTTCCAAAAGACCCTGAAGATACGTTTTTGCAAGCAGGCCTGGGGGTCCCAGGGTGATATAGAGCCTATCAAGTAGTTTGTAGCTAAACATTAATTTGTGGTCATCAACTTTAGCCAAATGCATATAAAAATCCATAGGTCATATCCGTTCAGTGCATTGCCTTTGGTGTTAATAGCACTGGTTGACAGGATGTGGTTTCGTGTCTTCTTTGCTGTCATTGCAAACAATGCAACTTCAGCAAGTTCTTTCTTTGAATGTTTTCGCTGGACGTGTGTGGTTGTGTTGGTTTTTTTTATTTGGTGTTTCATTCCTTATTCCGTGGATTGGGCAGCCAGATCAATGTCCCTAATAAATAAAGAATAAAGATGCCTTACTTCAGAATGTTAGCTGAGCCTGCTTTTTACAAATAACTCGAAGCAAACATACCCTACCACGTTTTCCTCCTTCTATTTTTTTGCACAACAACCCTGTGAGGTGAGTTGGGCTGAGAGAATGACCGATCTAAAGTCACCCATCCAGATTTCATGGCTAAAGCAGAACTAGAACTCACCGTCGCCTGGTGATTGGCTCAAAGTCACCTCATCCTTGGTAAATGCACAACCCACCAATATTGGAAACCAAGAGAAATCTCAGCTCATCTTTGAATCTCGGAAAAGACCGGTAAGCAAACCGCCATTGCAATTCTGGGGTGACTATTACACTGTTTTGAGATCATTCTCTTCACCCTCAACTAGGAAAGTAAATTTGACCAGCTTCTTTATTCAAATTAGTGCCTTCAGGGAGCTCCAAAAATTCGACCAGACAAAATTCAACGAGCAACCTGCAATTTTATTTTATTTTAAGCTTCCTTTTCCCTTTATTATCTTCACATATAATTCAAGGCGGTGAAGATATCCAAATACTTCTTCTTTCTGCTACTTTCCCCACAACAGCCCTGTGAGGTGTGTTGGATTGAGAGAGAATGACTGGCTGACTGGCCCAAAGTCACCCAGCCAACTTTCATGCCTAAGGTGGACCTAGAACTCACCATCTCCTGGTGATTGGCCCCAAATCACCCAGCTGGCTTTCATGCCTAAGGCAGGACTAGAATTCACCATCTGGACTAGAATTCACCATCTCCTGGTGATTGGCCGAAAGTTGCCCACTTGGCTTTCCAGGCTACGAGACTTGAACTCATGATCTCCTGCTTGGGACCTTAACCACTGGACCAAATTAGCTCATTTCATGGCCCTCTGAAGTTTGCAGCCCAGATGAGCCCGTCTCCAACTTCTCCCTGCTTCGCATCCTTTAGAGGTGGTGAATGTACTGATCATCCCAGAATATTTTTGCCAGCCTGCTGTTCACGGACACGGTTATTCCAACGCACTCGGGAGCCACCAGGTGGAAAAAGTGTGAATTAACAAATTGTTTGTAGGATCTGGAAGGCAACAGTAGGAAGCCAGTTTGGGAGCAAAATTGAGCCATTGTTCTAGGCATGAAAACAAACTTCTCAGGCGCCGCCATGATTGGCCCGAAAGAAAATGTTCGTAAGCCAAGCTACCACGGGTCTGAGTTTTGGCAGAAGAGCCATAAACGGGGGAAGGGGTGGGAAGGGGTTATATGTTTAAAAAGTTAATGAGGAAGTACAAAATCTTTTTTTTATTTGCTGGACAAGTGCACGCAGGGGAAGGCCTGCCCCACTGACCTTCACCTGTCATGAAAGGGTGGACAATTTAAGGACGGAGGCCAAAAGCGAACAGCTTCCTAGGTATGGCTGCTGGTCATCCCTTTTCACTTCAGCTCAGCAGGGCACTTCTTCATCCTTCACCAGAACAGGAACGTGCTCACCGCTTTCACACATCAAGGAATACACAGCACGGATCGCCGAAGGTCTAGAACTTTCTGGAAGGCGGCCCGGTTCTAGAAGGGGAAGGAGTTCCGTTTCCATAGCCTGCATAGAGGACAACGTTCAGAGGTGGAGAAGATGGAGTAGCAATAGCACTTAGGTCCGGGGTCCCCAAACTTGGCAACTTTATAAGACTCGTGGACTCCAACTCCCAGCTATGCTGGCTGGAGAATTCTGGGAGTTGAAGTCCACGACTTTTAAAGTGGCCAAGTTTGGAGACCTCTGACTTAGATGAATATTCCGCTACGTAGTGCTTTACAACATTCTCAGTGGTTTACAGAGTCAGCCTATTTGCCCCCCAAAACTTGAGTCCTCATTTTACCGACCTCAGAAGGATGGAAGGCTGAGTCAGCCTTGAGCCGGTCAGGATCGAACTGCTGGCGGTGGGCAGAGGGCTTTCCTTCTCCCTTCCCTCCCCCTCTTCCTTCCCTTCCCTTCCTTTTCCCTCTTCCTTCCCTTCCCTTTTCTTCCTTCCCATTTCCTTCCCCCTTCCTTTCCTTTCCCTCTTCCTTCCCTTCCCTTTCTTTCTTCCCCTTCCTCTCTTCCTTTCCTTCCATTTTTCCTTTCTTTTCCTTTCCTCCTCCTTTACTTCCTGTTTCCTTTCCTTCTTTCCTTTCTTCCCCTTCCTGCCTTTATTATTTTCACATATAACTCAAGGCGGTGAAGATATCCAATACTTCTTCCTCCTCTTCCCACAACAACCCTGTGAGGTGTGTTGGACTGAGAGACTGACTGGCAGTGAGTCACCCAGTCAGCTTTCATGCCCAAAGTGGAACTAGAACTCCCACCCTCCTAGTGTTTGGCTTAAAGTCACCCAGCTGACTTTCATGCCTAAGATTCTACTAGAAATCCCAGTCTCCTGGTGACTGGCTCAAGTCAGCCAGCCAGCTTTCATGCCTACCACATCTCCTCTCTTAGCTTGGCTCTAGAATCAGGAATTGGACAGTCTGGGCAAAAATAAGAGAAGCGGGAAGAAAATTACCGTCTGGATCTGAAGTTTCTGGTCCAGCATCGCCACCTGCAATTTTAAAGCCTCCATCTCTTTCAGCTCATCCAAGCTGGAGTAAAAAAGAAGTCGTGGAGGCCCCACGGAATCTGGACCCGAGCAGGTTTGCTCTCCAAGGGAAGCATGACAGAAGCCCCAAGAATCCTGGTCAGTGTCGTCCTTGTCGTTCATGCAGAGCGAGGCAAACTCTGCATGAGACACCAGGGCTGCCCGAGAAGGAAAAGCATCTTTGTGACTATATTGTTTACAAGATATGATTATTACAATTCAGACGTTGTGGGGAAGCTTCAGGCCCGGAAGCTTTCAAGAAGAGACCGGACTGCCGTTTGTCAGAAATGGTGTTAGGGGCAGGGGATGGGATTCTACCGGTTCAGACCAGTTTGCGCGAACCGGTTATTAAATCTGCATCTGGTTCGCTGGACTGGTATTTAAACCAAACGGCTGGCCCCGTCCAGCCACCCCCCCTCCCCTCCCCGCAGTCTCCACGTGGCCCATTTTCGACGCAGGTAAGTGCAGGGGCCACGTGGAGGCTCTGGGAGAGGGGAAAATCGGCCTCCCGGAAGTCTGGAAACGGGCCTGTTTCCGGCTTCTGATGGGCCTCCAGAGCCCGGGGAAGGCCGCTTTCGCCTTCCCAGAGGCCCGAGGGAAGCCCCTGGGCCTTTGGGAAGGCGAAAAACAGCCCTCCTGGAAGTTCTGGTAGGCCACGCCCACCATGGCCACGCCCACCCAGCAACCGTAGGACCGTTGCAGCATCTTTGTGATCACCTGATCGATAAGAAGCATCGATCGGGATGTCTCCCAGATATGTAAATGGACCCCCCCCCCCCCCCCCCCCCCCCCCCCCCACACACACACAAATTGGGTGCAGCACAAGGACGCAACTTGTCTGCTGCCAACCACAGAAGTATGAGCTGGGATGGAAGAACTCCTAACTTCTGTTGTGTTGTGGCCCAGCCGCGGCCAGCGGGAGCCTGTTCCCTGTGTGTGCATGCGCAGAGCTGCCCGGAGAAGGGAACAGTTAAGCAACAAGGGTTGACTCGGGAGTAAGGGCACAGGTGGACGAAGAATGGCCCTTCCCACAGGGAATAAAGAGGAGGGAAACGGGAGTGGGCTTTGCAGGCGACAATTAGTTCAATTCACTAGGGTGAAGATCTGTTCCTGGCTTCTTGCCAAGTAGTGTCTGCTACAGAACGGCGTTTGGAAGTTATCGGCCTGGCAGCTCTCCAAGCCCGATAAAGGTCTGTAGCTGTGAAATCTCATGAAAGACTGCTGGCCGGGACTTTGCTGGAGAGGAATTCACTTTAAACTGAATAAAAGGAGTTTTATCAAACCAGGAGCTTCATGCTTTTGGGAAGACTAGGTCAGAGCAGTTGCAGAACACTGCGTCCTTTCACAATTGGGACAACTTTTAAGACGGGGTGGACTTTCAACTCCCAGAATTCCCCCCCAGTGCAGCCGCACCGTCGCAACTGGTTTGTGCAAAGTCATGGCTGGTTTATATTTTTCATGGAAAATGCAGGTAATTCTCAACCTGCAACAGCTCGTTCAGGGACTGAAGTTACAACGATCCCTGGAAAAAAGAGACCTACGATTATTTTTCACGCGATGGCTGTAGCCTCCCCGTGGTCACGTGATCAAAATCGAGACGCTTGGCAACTGGCGTGTATTTTACGACGGTTGCAGTGTCCCCTTTTGCGACCTTCTGACCAGCAAAATGAAGTGAGAAGCCAGATTCACCTAACCGTGTTACTAGCCGAACGACTGTGGTGAGAAAGGTTGTAAAATGGAGGAAACTTCGCCCAACAAATGTCTCGCTTAGCAACATTAATTTGGGGCTCAGCTGTAGTCATAAGTTGAGGACCACCTGTATGGGAAGAAGCCACAGAATCCAGAGCACGTCGGTTGAACAAAACTGGGAGTAAGGGCACCTTTTCGTTCGAATGATGCCCTCGAGGAGTCACCTCTCACCTTCTCGCATCTGGTCCAGTTTGCCAAGATGAGGCTCTATGAGCTCTTGTAAGGCCTGCACAGTCACAAGGCTTTCGTACTCTCTGTCCCAGGTTGGGTTTTCTCCAAGCGCCTCTGAGGAAGGAAGACTGCAGGTAAGACAACATCGTGCTGCACCAAGGCTAAAACATAGGAAGAACGGCTGCAGGATTTGGGGTCTGGCTAGTCCGAAGAAAAGAAGAATTAGGGGCGACACGATAGCCGTCTTCCAGCATTTGAGGGGCTGCCCCAAAGAAGAGGGAAGCGGTCAAGCTATTCTCCAAAGCACCGGGAATAAACAACGGATGGAAACTAATCAAGGAGAGAAGCAACCTGGAATTAAGGAGAAACTTCCTAACAGTGAGGACAATTAACCGGTGGAACAGCTTGCCACCAGAAGTTGTGGGTGCTCCAACACTGGAGGTTTTTAAGAAGAGACTGGACAGCCACTTGTCTGAAATGGTCTAGGTTCCCCTGCATGAGCAGGGGGCTGGACTAGAAGACCTCCAGGGTCCCTTTCAGATTCTATTCTATTCTATTCTATTCTATTCTATCCTATCCTATTCCTATTCTATATTCTATTCTATTCTATTCCATTCCATTCTATTCTATTCCTGTTCTATTCTATTCTATTCTATTCTATTCTAATTATATTCTGTTCCTGTTCTATTCCTGCTCTATTCCTATTCTATTCTATTCTATTCTATTCTATTCTATTCTATTCTATTCTATTCTATTCTATTCTATTCTCTGTTCCTGTTCTATTCCATTCCATTCCATTCCATTCTATTCCTGTTCTATTCTATTCTATTTCTATTCTTTCCCACTCTACTCTATTCCTATTCTATATTCTATTCTATTCTCTATTCTTACTAATCCTATCCTATTCTATTGGAATTCTGGGAGTTGAAGTCCACAGGTCTTAAAGTTGATGAGGTTAGACTGATTGCAATGTTCCTACACTCCCTTGCAATTCCATGCCCAGGTGGGCGTGAAGACATTGGTTCAGTGACCTCTTCTCACCTGGTCTTTCAGCTTCCATGTGCTGAGTGATGAGCAAGTGAAGGTCACGTAGATGCACCAACTCCTGCTTCACCTCCATTGGGGTATAGGCTGGCGTAGGAGAGAAGAACTGACCATCTGCTTAAGGAAAGGGGGCAATACTGTACACTGATGTTGTTACCTAGTGTGGTAATGAAACGTCTGCAAGAAAACGGCCAAGCTCAGAGACCACCAAGGATCCCACCGTTTTCCTCCTTTTCCTCTTTGCAAGCCCCACCTAGCACTGACGATGTTGCCTAGCTTGGTAATGTGCAAGAAAACTATCAAGTTCAGAGAACACCAAGGACCCCAGTCTTCCTCCTTTTCCTCCTCCTCCTCTCCACAAACCCAACTCCCTTCTAGCACTGATGACGTTACCTCGTTGGGTAATGAAACATCTGCAAGAAAACCACCAAGCTCAGAGAGCACCAAGAACCCCAGTCTTCCTCCACCTCCCCTCTGCAAACCCCCCCTAGCACTGATGATGTTACCTAGTTTGGTAATGAAACGTCTGCAAGAAAACTATCAAGCTCAGGAAACCCCACAGTGGTCTCCTTCTCCTCCTCCCCTTTATATCTACAGCAGTTTTTGCAAGTTGAAGTTCTCCAGACGTACCAAGACTCCAAGCCTGAGAATTTCCATCTGTCTGGGGAATATATTACATCTAACGTGGGTCACGGATGAAAACTATTCCATATTAAAGTCTATATCGCTTAGAATCAAAACAGAGATTGACGTGAGAGAAATCAATAAAATTGGAACTGTTTTGGGAAGCCAAAGAAGTTTGAATGGAGTTAACAACCCCATTCAAAGCCTAAAGAAATGCATTCTGGCAATTTTTGTTTTTAAAAAAGAAGACTAAAAGTAGACATAACAAAATACCTGTGTCAGCACCAGGAAAAACTAGACAGCTAGCCCTAGTCATACCTGCAAATATATTTTTCTTCTTCTGCAAAAGGCCAAATTAGCAAAAGGATACAGTTGCTTGCAGCTTCTCTAAAAATTGGCTCTTGGTGACAGCTGCCTCGGGGTCTGTTTTCAAATCCTGGCACTCTTCCAACAACCTTTGTGTCAAGAAGCAGAAGAGTGGGAAATAGCAACAGCCTTTAGACTTATATACCACTTCCCAGTGCTTTACAGCCCCCTCTAAGTGGTTTACAGAGTCAGCCTCTTGCCCCCAACAATCTGGATCCTCATTTTACCCACCTCAGAAGGAGGGAAGGCTGAGTCAACCTTGAGCCTGGCGGGATTTGAACTGCCAAATTGTAGACAGCTGGCTGCAGAAGTAGCTTGCAGTACTGCACTCTAACCACTGCGTCAAGAAACTTCTCCTTAACGCTAGATTGGATCACTTGTTAATGATCTTCCATCCATTCAGGGGTGGGATTCTACCGGTTCTCACCTACTCGCTAGAACCTGTTGTTAACTTTCTAAGCGGTTCAAAGAACTGGCTGTTGGAAGAAATCTCCTTTCTTTCCCCCCTCCACTTTACAGGGCTAATCCAGAGGTGGTATTCAGCAGGTTCTGACCAGTTCTGGAGAACCAGTAGCAGAAATTTTGAGTAGTTCGGAGAACCGGCAAATCCCGCCTCTGACTGGGCCCGCCAACCCCATCTCTTCTCGGCCTCCCATTGAGTCCCAGCTGATCGGCTGGGTCTTCTTTGGTTACCCTGCACAGGAGAACAGAGCTGGAAAGCAGGTTAGAAGGGTGGGGAGGGAATGGGGATTTTACAGTATCCTTCCCCTGCCATGCCCACCAAGTCACGCCATGCCCACAGAACTGGTAGTAAATTTTTTTGAATCCCACCACTGCATCCATTACTTCTTTTCCTACCCTCAGGTTCTCACAGAATTAGGCTGATCTCCTCTTCTCTGTAAAGTACTGGAAGATTGCTATCCTATCACTCCGAGTACTTATTTAAGATGTGTAGATTGACTTCCGGGGTCAAAGGCAAAAGACTGGCTACAATGCTGTCTGTACAAGGTTCCTGACACGCCTCTGAACTGAGGTCACAACGTCACTTTTGAATCCTACATCCATTCTTGCAGACTCGCCCAAACTTGGGTCATTCAACTCAGAAAGACCCTAAAATTTCCCCCACCTTTCCTAGCGACTTGTGGTTTAGGTTAATTTGGATAACCTTACCTGACATACTTGGAAAAAGCTTTCTGATATGGAGGGGGCAGTTTCAGTGAAGATCTGCAAAAAAAAATAGCTCGGTATTATCATCCTTGGTAAATGCACAACCCACCCATATTGGAAACCAGGAGAAATTTCAGTGCATCTTTGGGATTGAATTTCGGAAAAGACAGTTAAGCAAACCGCCATAAGTCATCCCTCTTCCGCAATTCTGGTGTGACTATTGCACTGTTTTGAGACCATTCTCTTCGCCCTCAACTAGGAAAATAAATTTGAGCAGTTTATTCATTCAAATTGGTGCCTTTCAGGGAGCTCCAAAAATTCAACCAGACAAAATTCAACGAGTAACCTGCAATTTTATTTTATTTTACACTTCCTTTTCCCTTTACTATTTTCACACATAATTCAAGGCGGTGAAGATATCCAAATACTTCTTCTTTCTGCTACTTTCCCCACAACAACCCTGTGAGGTGTATTGGACTGACAGAGAACTTTCAAGCCTAACATGGAACTAGAACTCCCAGCCTCCTAATGATTGGTTTAAAGTCACCCAGCTGACTTTCATGCCTAAAATGGGACTAGAAATCCCAGTCTCCTGTTGATTGGCTCAAAGCCTGTCCAACTAAGGCAGAACTAGAACTCACTTTGTCCTGGTGGTTGGCTCAAAGTTACCAAGCCGGCTTTCATGGCTTATGTGGGACTTGAACTCTTGCTTTCTATCCGGGTGCCTTAATCACCAGACCAAACTAGCATATAATGTAAAGCTGCCTCAGTTTGGATGCAAGGGCTTTCAAACAAGGATTTTAGGACCTTCAGATATTGCATTCCTGCTCCTATTTGCTCCAGCCCAGTTGATGGAGCCAAAGTTTATGGAAGCCCCAGATAATCATCATAAATTGTGCGGCAAATTTAGTTCGCCAAATTGCTTTGGAAGCTTGAGATGGGGCTGGCTTCCTCTACTTGGCAGAAGGCATCCGTGTGTTTTATCCAAGCAGATTTTTAATCATCTGTTCTGTTCGTGGGATGCTTGAATTTTTGTAAGAGGGAAAGTCTAAAGTCGTAAAACATTTGTGCTGCTATTTATACCTACAGGATAAGGGGCTGTTAGGTGGAATAGCATCAGCCTCGTGAGTAAATAAGAAAACAGCCTTTTCTGCAGGATGTTCTACAGCAGAATTAGAGCCTGGATTAACCTCTTATATACTGAAGAAGGGCCGGATTCACACATTCATCAGCATCCCAATTGAAAACGAACTACACTACGGGGTCCTTGAAGTTCTTTGATATAATAAGGTTGTTTTCTTGCAGATGGTTCATTATTCAACTGGGCCACATCGTTAGGGCTAGAATTGAGTGGGGCTTGCTCTCTGTTTATCTTTAAGTGGGTTGTCCTGACAAACCCCACTCCCTTCTAGTACTGGTGACATTGCCTAGCTGGGTGATGAAACAAATTCCAAGAAAATCAGCAGGCTTGGAGAAAGCAGGACATAACGGTGAGTATGTTGAGCCTGGGCCTAACAGCGGAGCGTTGGAGAGAACCGGTTTCGTCTCTGCTGCTCATCGGCGCTAGCGGCTCGGGAGAACCGTGCCGAACCGGTGGAAAACCACCCCTGATGCTGCAGTAGAGGGAACTCAGCCAGTGTGTTGCACTCACAAAACACAGAAGCTGTGGGTCACTGCCCATCCAGACCCTGCTTGGTCAGGCCCAAAGGAAAAGCACGTCTCTCCGCGGAGGCAGATTTTTGGAGGAAGTGGGATGCGTGGCCACCTACCCGATTTGTTGAAAAGTGGAAGTTGGAGGCTTTGCTCCTTTTCTCGGTGGGTCTGTTCTTAAAGGATACGGCCCACCTAAAGCCTCCAGGCCAGGATCTACCAGATCAGGGGCTTGAAGGCCTGTTCCTTCGCAGTCCCCTCTACCGGCAAACCGAGGGGGTGTCGTCGTGTGGCAGGGACCTATGGAGCAGCCCAACGGCAAGCCGGGTTCGGCAGCGACACGGACCTTTCCGTGAGGGTCCTTGGCTGTCTTTGCGCACAGTTTCCACTTTGGAGAGGAGACCCCTACTGAGGACCCCAACTTTTTCCCAGCCGTTTTGCTCCGTCCAGCTGGTATTTTCACTGGTGGCCTTTTCACCGCCGCATCAGTTTTGTAGGGAGCCTTCAACATGTAGGCTGTGGGTTTTTTGGACGCCACCGGCTTTCTACTCACAGGAGACATCTCGGTGGTCTTGGGGACCTTGTCTTTAGGATTACGTGCAGGTTGCCTCAAAGCAGACTGGCTCACCGGCTTCTTACTTGAAGTTTCCGAGACTTTAATGGTCTCGCATGGCACTTGGTGGAATTTTGACCGGAGTCTTAATGCTTTCTCCAAGGCTTTGTTAAGCAGTTCCAGGTCCTTGAGCTCCTCAGCTGAAGGCTCTGTTGCTTCTACAAGTGAAGGAAGCACGTCAAAATGGATCGATTATATCAGCGTTTCCAAACCTTGAGAACTTTATGACGTGTGGACTTCAACTCCCAAAATTCCATGGCCAGCCATGTTGCCTTGCAACCTACTTTCTATAGATCCACAGTATTTTTTTGTCGTTTAATGACCCGTAATCCCTTGCATCGGGGTGGAGTTGGGGCAACTGAATGGAGCTGAGTGTTTACTGGCCGGATGCCCTTCCTATCACCAATGAGGAGTTCGCAGCAGATATATTCTCATTGGGCCCAGAGAGAGAAATAGCTGCCTCTACCTAGGATCGAACTCTCAGCCTCCTGATTGTGAGGCTAGAGCTCCACCCCTAGGCTAGCGTACCGCTACGTATCTATAGCATTGAATCCATTTATTAAACAACTGGATTTATACATTTTGTGGAACTATTTTTTACTGATTAGACTTGTAACTAATGTGCCTCATTGGCTTTTTTGCTTCAGGTGTGGCAATTCAATCAATTATAGTTTAGCAATTGTAGTACTGGGATGGCATTGCGTCATGCCAGCTAATGGCAGTTTACTCAACAAGCCATGGATAAACAGACCATTGGTTTATTGGAAATCATCCATCCAGGAATAGGGTATGACTGCAATGAAGCACCATGGACTGTGATATCTCCAATTCAAAGGCCCAGGACTTCCTATAACCAGGAAAAAGGTCTGGAGACCAGGAAGTGATATGGAACCAATAAAGTGGCTGATCTGATTATATTGTGGCTGCCATGAAGATTAAGTTGGGAGATTTTTATGGGCTTTTATAATGGAATTTTAAATGTTACAAGCTGGCCGGAATCACCTATGTGTGAATTTGGTGGCTATATAAACTGTTCAAATGAATACATAAATAACAAGGGAGACTAGTCAAGAATGATGCTTCCTTTACCATGTTTCTCAGTTTTGGCATCTTCAGGAACAGGGTTTTCACTCTCAGAGTTCCTAGCACAGACAAAAAGAGAATACACAATTCAGCAAGGAACAGGTGCGCTCCCTCCCTCCTTCCACATCATCCCAGTTTCTATAGGTCGCTGATGATTATAATAATAATTTCACGTGGGCTTAAGAAAGACTGGGAGATTTGTGGCATTGGGATAGTCACTGTTGGGATGACTTCCTTCCATGAGGAGGGTTGGAAAAAGGAATAGAGGGACAAGGAGAAGAAGGAGGGGAGAATGAAGAACAGGATTGGTGAAGAAGAGGAGAGGAGAAAAGAGACAAGGAAGAAGGAAGAAGAAGAAGAAGAGAGAGGAGGAGGAAGAGGAGGAAGGAAAAGTCGCATTCTTTGCTTCCCTTGCATTAAACAGTAAGGTGCACTTTAAAATTACGCCCAGCTTACCATTCCCCAAGAACTGCACGGCACTGTTGGATTTTCTGCTGGAGTTTTGTCCTCTGCTCTGTGCAATCTTCCAAGGCTTGGGTGAAAAGGGAAACCAGCCTGGAAAGAGACAAGAAATGGCTGTTTTTCCTTAACATCCCAGAGGAAAGAGCTTTGATTTCAATTTCCCAGCAGGACCATAGACTCCTAGGGCTGGAAGGAACCTTGGATGTCTTCTAGTCCAACCCCCCTGCCCAAAGACAGTATCAACAGTGATAGGCACCTTAGTTGTGAGCCCAAAATCTCTGGAGCATCACTAGGGCACCATGGGCATTGACAAACTCAGTATCAGTCAATTGCAAAAGGCAACTTTACTTGGGGCATCCTACATCCTACAACGAGACCTTTAACACCCTCAAACAACAACATCTGCCTATGTTAGGTGGACAAAATGCCCAATCCAGCCTGAACCTCTGGACGAGCGTGCAACAAACTATAGCAAGACAGAAGAATAGAAGAGAAAGAACTGGAGGAAAATCCCCAAAGAAGAAGCCTCGTGTCAACTCATAAAATATTTCTATGATCTTTTTAGAGTTGCCAACAGAAAGGGAGGGGGAGCAGTGCAGTAACTTGCAAACCGAAAGTGCATTCCATCAATGTTTTCAAAGATAGTAACTAGGTGACTGAAGTTTCTGCCATGCAAAATTCTAACTGGAGAGCATGATTGAGGACTCCTGGCTATGGATGTGTCCCATTGGAGAATATGAATGATGATACACCCAGGGGGGTGGAGGGGAAAACCAGGGTCAAGGGTGACAATGAATGATGTGTCTCAGAGTTGGGCTACACCCAGGCTGTGCCAGACATGTTAACTCCCAATAAATCCTTTTGAAGTTTTGGAAGTTTGGCTTACGACTCATGATTTAAATGGGGTTAAGTGCCGGAATCCTGACACCTTGCAAATAGAAGTAGGATGGCTGTGCCAAAAGAAAGCAAGGACAAGGGTCAAGGGGAATTTTGGGGTGCAATCCCGAAACATGTGGAGCATCACTTGAACAACTCTGGGCATGGACAAAATCACCAGCAGCCAAGTGCAAAAGGCAGTTTTACTTGGAACACTTTGCATTTTGCAACAATACCTCTAGCACTATTTAACGCTTAAATACCTACCTATCCCGGGTCTTTGGGAAAGGCTCAACAGATGATCAAAAATGCAAAATCCGGGCTAAACATCTGGCTGCCTGGGCAACCAATCACCATCATCATATTTTAAAAATAATAAGCACTCACCTCTGGGCACAGTCAGCGGGCAGCATGGAGAAGGCGGAGGAAAGACTACAAAGAAGCAATTGCGAGCCGCGCAAATAGCCCGTTTCGCGCAAAGCGCCGAAAGCCGAACTCTCTTCGCTTCCCCTGCAAAGGAGAGAGAACCATAGAGTGTCCCGCCCTAGGCTAGAGAGACCCTTCCCTATTCCGTGCCTCCTAGAGATAGTAAAAACGACATGGTCGACTTTATTTTTTAGCCGCTCTTTTTTTCAGGTTTATTTCTGGGGTTACTGACCCTTTTTAAATATATAAAAATATTTAAATGTACAAAAGGCCCCAGTGGCGCTCTGCCGGACAAATAGTAGAATAGCACGATGGTCGATGAAAACCAATAGTCGTTTCTTCTCTTTTGTATCTCTATGGTTTAAGTTTCGCTCCAGCCCGCGCTTTCACGTCCTGTCAGGAATATGGTGAATTATTTAGACTCGCTTTGGAGGAGCGTTATTATAGCCTCCGGATATTTCCCGTGTTTTATTTCTCCAATAATTGATAACCATCTCTGGAGGTGTTTTGGTGGCCCAATTCCTTTTTTTCTTTTCGTAATACTTACGTCTCGGTGTTGGGTTTTGTAAGCTGCCAGGAAGGCGCTTAGCAACTGAACGTCTGCTCGTAGCAACGGTTGCTATGCGGAAGACGCTGAAGTCTGTTGCATAAAGGCGGCCTTTCATTTAAAAAAAAAACAAAAACAAATGATTTTATTATTCCAGCCAAACATCAGATTATAATATTTGTTTGTTTGTTTTGGCTCAGTGAGGCGTGAGCAGCCAGAGTGCCTCCTAAACCCAAGTGCCCAGCTTTGCATTCCATTTTATTTATTCATTTAATAAATTTATATGCCACCCATTTCACTATCACAAAGCGTAATTCAACATTACAAGTGAACCAGGTTAATTCATCTGCTCCCACAAATTATGGCTAAAACAAACCCACCGCCTAGCAGGAGAGGTGAATCTGAATCTGGATGCCACCCTTGAATAACTATATAGAGGATATATTGGAATAAACTGAAGGGTTTGCAAAGCCCTGAGAAAATTACCAGGGATTTTATCTCAAAGGAGACCCAAGATGGAAATGCTGCAGATGGAGTGGAGAATGAAAGTTTTCTGAGACGTTTGAAAGCTCCTGAAATAGGAAAGCCCGTAGGAAAGTGGGACAAGGTATCCTGATGCACCTTCAGCTCAGCCTTCAGCCAAATTGGGAGTAAATCCAGGCAAAAATACTTCGGAATCCTTCATACATGCATCATATGTTGGATGCATTTAAAAAGTTTATTCATGAGCAAGTTTTCTTCCTTTCCAAATATTTCAAAGCCAAATCTGGAGGGGAAAAAAGTGTGCTATTATTTCCTTTAAATATGTTGCCAAAAACTGTATAGTAACAATAACAGAATTGGAAGGGATCTTGGAGGTCATCTAGTCCAACCCCCTGCTCATGCAGGAAACCTATACTAATTCTGACAAATGGCTGTCCAGTCTCTCCATCAAAGCCTCCAGTGATGGTCACCCACAACTTCCAGAGGCAATTTATTCCTGATTGATTGTTCCGTTAGGAATTTTCTCCTTAATCATAGGTTGCTTCTCTCCTGATTCAAAGTGTCACATAAATTGTTTCCCATGAACTAACTCTAGGTAGTCCTTGACTTAAAACCATTAGTTTCATTCAAAGTTGTTCAAAGTTATGACGGCACTGAAAAAAGTAACCCGTCTCCCATCTTTGCGCTTACAACCATCACAGCATTCCCGCAGTCATATGATCAAAATTCAAGCACTAACCAGATCTGACTTTGTTTCAAACTAAATGGATCCACTTAACGACCATTGCATCATAGCATAGTCATATGATCAAAATTCAGACACTGGGCAACTGACTCATATTTATGATAGTCGCAGTGTTCCAGAGTCTTATGATCACCTTTTCTAACCACCTTTTCTAATCACTGGAAGCTTTCAAGAAGAGACTGGACTGCCATCTGTCAGAAATGGTGTAGGGTCTCCTGCTTGGGCAGGGGGTTGGACTAGATGACCTGCAAGGTTTCTTCCAACTCTGTTAATCTTTTGACAAGCAAAGTCAATGTGGAAGTCAGATTTACTTTTCAGCTGTGTTACTAACTCAACAGCTGCAGCAATTTTCTTAACTGTGCCAAGAAAGGTTGTAAAACTGAGCAAAACTCACTTAACAAATGCCTTGCTTAGCAACAGAAATTTGGGCTCAACTGTAGTCATAAATTGAGGATTACCTATATTGAGAAAACAAATAGGAATTGCCCAGCAGGGTGCGCACTTCTACCATTTATCCTGATGCTGAATTTCATTCTAAAATTTAAATAGTATTTAAATTCAGGACAAGGTTTGTGGAAAATAAAACTGCTTTGGCATTTTATACATTTGGATATTATTCATAACCCGGATTGTGAGTAACAAACTGAACAAGTCTCAATCCATAATAACTTACAGGACATAGTCCAGAATCCTTCATACAAATTTCATATGTTGAGTACGTATGTCCAAAAAATTTATTCATAAGTTAATTTTCCTTATTTTCAAATCTTTTGAAGCCAAATTTGGAGGAACAAAAAATGTGCTATTATTTCCTTTAAGTATTTTGCCAATAATAAACCAATTTGCTAGCCTTGCCATATAGCCTGGAAATTCTCACATAGCAATTGACACAAATTGTATAGGCTTTGTATGTGACTTAATTCCATTTTATTCAAATATTATAACCATAATATAACCCAGTTATGGTAACACAACTAGACACTAAGCGAGATTTAAGATTTAAACATTTTATCTAAGTTTAAAAAGTTATTTTATTTGTAGTCCTGAAGTCTGAACTATGGAAGTTAAAAATCCTTTTCTATTAAAAAGCAGCAGTTTCGACCTATCAAGAATTGCTAGTCACATATTAGTTTCTATCCTTTGATAAACGCCACATAGTTAATAAGATTAGCTCACTGCACAGCAATTAAACTGAATGAGGTTGCTGCAGCAATCCCTAAATTCTTCGAAAATTACTTCTAGTGACAATTAACCAATATTATCTTTAATTCAAAAATAATTTAAACAGGGGTTAGAAATTGTATTAAAACTTGTGTAATAATGCCGTTTATGAATCCTCATTGAATATCAATGCTTCAGTTACTGCGTACACTAAACTCTTATAAAATTTCATTTTCTAAGAGATTCGTTTATTTCATTAGCTTCCCTAAATTGGTTCCTGGTTAAAATGATTTCCACTGGGGGCAAAATAAGGAATGTTCAAATACAGTGTTAATTACAGATATTTCAAAGTGTTTTGCAGTCTTTCAGCAACCCACCCAGTGGTGGGATTCAATTTTTTTTACTCCCGGTTCTATGGGCGTGGCGTGGCTTGGTGGGCATGGCTTGGTGGGTCACGGCAGGGGAAAAAATACTGTAAAATCCCCATTCCCTCCCCAAAATCCCCATTTCCTCCCCACCCCACTAACCTACTTTCCAGCTCTGTTCTCCTGTGCAGGACAACCAAAGAAGACCCAGTCGATCAGCTGGGAATCAGGAGGCAGAGAATAGATAGGAGTGGGGCCAGTCAGAGGTCGCATTGGCCAGTTCTCAGAACTACTCAAAATTTCCACTACTGGTTCTCCAGAACTAGTCAGAACCTGCTGAATACCACTTCTGAACCCATCCAAATGAAATTCAAAGTAGTAGGACAGAATGACAAGAGTTGGAAGGGACCTTGGAGGTCTTCTAGTCTAACCCCATGCCCATGACCTTTCTACAACGTCCCCATATGTGGTATGATCTCTTCAATCATCTCCAAATTTGAGAGTAATACAGACAGCCCTCCACCTACAACAGTTCATTTAGTGATTGTTCTGAGTTGCAATGGCACTGAAAAAAAGTGACATGACAATTTTTGAAACATATGGCCATTGCAACATCTCCATGGTCACGTGATCAAAATTCAGACTCTTGACAACTGGTTCATCTATATGACAGTTGCAGTGTCCTGGAGGGTCATGTGATCCTCTTTAGTGACTGACAAGCAAAATCAATGGGGAAGCCAGAATCACTTAACAACCGTGTTCCTAACTTAACAACTTTAGTATTTAGTATTTATTTGATTTGTCAATCGCTTACAAGATACAGGTATAAGAATAAATATAGTTTTGAATACATGAGATAGATACTTATAAGAAAAATAAAAAGAAACAAGGTTAAAGTTTTTGGGTTTGGGGAAGAAACAACAGAGTCAGGTAGAGTATTCCAAACATTGACCACTCTGTTGCTGAAGTCGTATTTTCTGCAGTCAAGTTTGGTGCGGTTAACCTTGAGTTTGTATCTATTGTGCGCTCTTGTATTGTTATGATTAAAGCTGAAGTATTCATTTGCAGGTAGGACATTGCAATGTATGATTTTATATACTATATTTAGATCAGACCGGATGCAGCATAGTTCTAGGTTTTCTAGGTCTGGAGTTTCAAGTCTGGTGGCATAAGGTCTTCTGCAATGAGTAGAGAAGCGGAGAACTCTTCTTGTGAAATATTTCTGGACTTTTTCAATTGTGTTAATATCAGATACATGATATGGGTTCCAGACTGATGAGCTGTATTCGAGTATAGGTCTAGCAAATGTTTTGTATGCTCTAGTGAATCATTTAACAACTGTGGCAAGAAAGGTTGCAAAATGGAACAAAATTTACTTAACCGTCTCTCTTAGCAACATAAATTTTTGGCTCACTTGTGGTCGTAAATCAAGAGCTATCTCTACTCAACTCATACATTTTATATTTATTACTTTTTCAGGGAAGCTAACTCTATGTCCACCAACCAGATGGCCAAATATTTTCACCAAGATATGTGATTGCACAGAACTTTCAAATAGATTCGTGGTTTGATTGTCCTATTGTTTTTTTCCCCTTTCACAACAATTAATTATTAAATTAAACAAGTTGTCTTTTTTACTGTAAAGGCTGGTCCAAGACCCAATTCAGGATCATTTGATTTTGATTTGAAGTGGGCCCATAATCATAATTTGAGATTCCCATATACACAAGGGCTTTGGCATCTTATCTGGATTTTTCCTGCATTTAGATTGCA